CTGTCGTTAAGGAACTTGAAGCGGATCAGAGTTTGCCACCCCAAACTATGCCACGTTGGCATAAGGGTTGTTTGCGGCTGAAGGAATTAGCTCCCTGCCCTCCCCTCTTTTGTCCAAAAGCAGGGCGCAAGTTTCCCTTTGTCAAGGTGGGGCCTCCTCCCATCCCAGGAAGAGAACAACTCCGGAGACAACTCCTACCCCTAAGACAACTCTGATCTGCGTAACCTTACTAAAGAACCCTTATTTATCATACGTTTCCTAGTCACCTTCCCATAACTAACCTCCACCAGGAGCCCCAAATCCCTTTTCCTTTGTCCAGCCTCTATCCTGCACTTTATCACCCTTTGTTAAGAGGGTCTATAAGCCCCCGATTCTGACAGTGTCCTTGAATCAGATTTCTTTGTGAACTCCCAGGCATACCTAGGTAATTAAATGTTTGTTTCTCCTGTTAATTATCAGTTTTATTTGCAGGCCCAGCCAATGAACCTAAGAGGATAGAGGAGGAGTTTTTTTCCTTCCCTCCAGAGTCAAGATTAGTTAGTCTTTATGTTATGTAGCGACACCACTTCAAATATTTTAGAACAAGTGGGAGGCATAAATAATAAATTAGAAGTGTTTAAGTGCTATGCACTGAATTAAATGTCAGGCAGTAGTATATGTAATTTTGAATACTTAAAAGAACTATTATTCTTACGTGGAGAACTATTATTCTTAGGGGAAAACACAGTGTCCAAATCCACTTGGACTCTAGGCAAAGAAGCAGGACTTCAGAAGGTTTTGCTACTTACAGTTTAAAAATTCTTTCATGATACATCCACCACACTCCTAAGGAGTCACTGTAGAGTGTCTATTCTCTGTAGCTGATGGCACAGTGCTTCACACTGGGGCGGGGGTGCAGCGAGGTGGAGGCAGAGGTACATTTACTTTAAACATGTTTTACAGCCCTCTTTTTACTTTTTGGATTTAATTTTCACTAATCCAAGGAAATTTCCTCTCTCATCACTTTCTTATCCTTACTTTACACATCCTTGCTCCTTCTCTCCTTCCCGCCTTCCCTTAGTGGGACACACCGGCTCCCTTTGTCTCTGCCCAGCACCTTTTCCCCCTTCCCTGCTTAAAGAAACGTGTAGTGTCTTCAAGGCCAGGGAAGCCCCATCTCGTCCTGCAGACTTCCCGGGGTTCCTCCAACCCTCACTCAGAATTCTCTCCTCAAACTGATGTCCAGTCTATTTCATTTACAATCCTGTCTCCCCAAATGAGAGTAAATATTCCTCAAGTGCAGTACTCGTTTCTCCTTTTGTTACTTTGCACAGAACAGTTCTCGACATCGAGGCAGCTAATCAATGCTAATTAAAGTTGGGCTGTTTATCAAACATCCGTGTGCCTCACAGGGTGTTAGATGTCGGGAATCAAACAGTGAACTGTACATCATTCTGCCTCCTTCGGGGCGCTTACAAGCAAAGGCCACAAACTTGTAGTGTTTGGGCCAGTGTTTTGTTAGCGCAAAATGTGAACTGTCCTGAATGACAATAGTCTAAGCTGGGCATTCATCCCCAGGTCACAAGACTTGGTCACTCCCTCTGTCTGGCACCCATGCAGCTTCACTAATTTATGTTACCTTCAGTCATCTGTAAAACATCCTTAACTTCTTAACTCTGAATTTATAAAGAATAAATTCGTTTTAAAGTGCAGGCTCTTCCCATATCAGATGCTGACTAGAGTTAGTTATCACTCCCCAGACTTTCAACATTATAATGCCACGATTGGCTGCGTTTCTCCACCACTGACTTGCTGCACGCTGTTCACAGTACACTTACTATGGAAAACCAGCTCCAGTTAAAAAGAATTCCCCAATCCGAGGGCAGATGGTATATTAATTAATTAGAGAAAGGAAACAGAACTGCTCAGCAACTGTTTTGCTTTCTTAAAAGCAAATGATCTTTAAGCTGGAAAAGACAAGAAATCTCACCTAGAGGGAACCAAGGTACAAGCAGAAGAAGTGACTTTAAAGGAATTTATGTCTTCAAATTCTGGGGAATTATATTCCAGGGGGAACCTGCAACATGAGACAGATATTCTGACAACCTTTGGAAAAACATGGCAAAGGAGGGCAGTCTCGAGAGGCTAGAGACTCAAATACACTTGTTTCCCCATATTTTTAAAATTCAAAACTGAAAAAAAGAATTACAATTCCTAGGCATTACAGACCAGTTAGTTTGATACCAATCTCTGGCAAAATCCAAGATTTAATCAGTAAACAGAGAACAGTTAGGGGGGAAAAAAGATTGGGGATTGCTAGGAGCTAGCAGTTCACAAAGCATCAGTCATTTTAAATTAACGTCACTTAATTTTGTGACAGATCAGGAAACATGCAAGATCTTTATTTTTAGCAAAGCATTTGATTAAAATTTTTCTCACGATGTCCTTATGAAGAAGACTGATCTATGGGCTAGAATAGTTTGATAAAGAAGAAGGACAGTGCTGAGTTCAGCTGATTCATTAATTTGTCTGGGCAGCATCTACTGAGGGCCGTCTAGATTCCCACCCAGCACCAGATTTGGCACTTTTAATACTGTACATTACTCTGAGTCCTAACAAGCACCTTGAATGGTAGATGTTACTACCCTGTTTTTTGTTTCTTTTTTTTTTTTTTTTTTTGCTGAGGAAGATCAGCCCTGAGCTCACATCTGTGCCACCCTTCCTCCACTCTATATGTGGGTTGCTGCCACAGCATGGCTGATGAGTGGTGTAGGTCCGTGCCCAGGATCCAAACCCACAAATCCAGGCTGCCAAAGTGGAGCACACTGAACTTAACCACTACACCGTGGGGCGGGCCCACTACCCTCACTTTATTGGTATGGAAAAGAAGTTTCTCAAGGTCACAAAGCTAGCAGGTGTCAGGGCCAGGCTCCAAAACCAGGCCCCAAAAGTCCAGGACCATTTCTACTGTACCACAGGCTTCCAGATGTGCCACCACAACAAAAGGACCTGTCCCACGTATTATCAATGACTTGAATGGGGAACAAACTCACCAAATGTGCAGGTGACACAAAACCGCAAGGTAGAATTAACAAGATCAATGCCACAATCAAGATGAAAACATATGTAACAAACTGGAAATTGGCGACTATACTAAGTACTTTCTGGACATTAGCTCATTCAGTGCTGCAATAACCCTATGGCTAGACAGCGTCTCTTATCCTCCCCATTTCACCCATGAGGCAGCTGAGGCTCGGGGGTCTGAAAGGCTGTCAAGTAAAGGAGACAAAAGTCATACTCTGTACCACTTTAGACTTTGCATTTCTTAACTTTTTTTTTGGCCATAGACTCTTCAGACAGATGAAAGTTTCAGATCTTCTCTGCTGAAAAATTCTACAAATAATTTTACAAGTTGGAGGGCTATTGGCAAAAGTAGGACTAATGAGAAACAGGTCCAAGGAAGCAGTTGTCAGCTCCGTGTAAACAAGGCCTTGCCCACAAGAACAAAAACGTGTGGCTGAGGGGCTCCAGTAGCAGGCAGCTGGTGTGTCAGGAGCGCTGTGGAGGAGATACTAAAATGGACTGGAGGTTGGTCTATGATTTTGAAGCACTCTTTTGCTATAAGATTGTAGGCTTAATAAGTAATTTTTGTTTAAGGGCAAAACAAGCAAGTTAAAAACTGAAGTTATTGTTTTTTCAAGCCATTCTGCTGAGTATGTCAAGCAGAATACCTAAATAATGTCATTTCCCTTCTACATATCGTAGCTATATCAGGTACTGGAAAACCTCATCCAAAGACAAAAGGTATATTCAACTCTTCGTCTGGATGTGATTTACACTTTGTCATAAAAAAGTGGATTCCTTATTCCTCTGAATCCTTAACTAAAATTTTCCCTAAGATAAACACCATATACCCCAGATCCTAAAAAGATGGAGTCTTTGTTGAGAACATTTGCTAGTTTATAATTTTATGTGAACCGGCTTCCATAAAAGATGGGGCGGGGGCAGCCCCGGAACATACGAGAAACAGCTCCAATTGCTCTGCTTTGCTTCTCAGAGCCCTTCGCTAACGGCTGGAGGGTCTTACCCGTCTACTCCGATTTACTTCCCACTTGCATCAAAATTCCGCCTCCCACAGCTATAAAGAGCGCACAAGCTAATATGCCATTCAGAACACAAGCCTGACAGCTTGGCATACAAATTAAATGTCCACAGGCAATTCTTTCACCTGAAAACTTGCATTCAGGTGGGACGGAGGAAGGAGGGCGAAGCTGCGCCCCACGGGGCGATGCCCTTCGCGTGGGCGCGGGGGCGGCGGGGCGGGGGCTGCCTCGCGCGTTCCGGGGCCGGAGCCGGGCGGCTCGGGGCGCGCGGCCGCCGACGGGGCTGTCCGGGAGCAGCCGCCTGGAGCTCCCCGGGGCCGCCACTGAGCGATCGGACGGGCGCAGCTGACCTGCAGAGACCGACGGACGCACACGCCGTCGCCCCCTCCCAGTGTCACTTACCCGACCCACCGCCGGGGCAGCGGCGCGCCCATCGCACCTGGGGCGGCCGGCGCTGCCTGGGGCTGCTCGGCGACAGGGGCCGGGCGCCGAGGCCGGGACGGAGACGAGCGCACGGCGGCAAGGACAGCGGCGCCGCCTCCGCGCCCGCGCCCGGCTCAGTCAAGTGGCAGCCTCGGAGGACGGGCTGTCCTTCGGCCGCGCTCCGGGCCCCTCCCCCGCCGCCGCCGCGCCCGCGGCGCGCTCCTCGCGGGTTCGCGCCCCGCGCCCGGCCCGCGGGACCCGCAGGTGGCAGCCGTGGGCGCTCGGCTCCAGGGGAGCCCTTGGCGGGCTGCACGCGGGGCCGGGGGCCGGGGGCCGCGGCGGGGCGGCGGGGCGGCGGGGCGGAGCTGGGCTGTGCGGCTGGTCGGTCCCGGCCACCGCCTCCCGGCCACGCCAGTGCCCTATCCAGAGTGCCGCCGCCTCCCCAGCAGGAATCAGACCCCCAAAGTTCGAAGAAAAGAGGAGCGAGCGGGTCACCTCTCTGCCCTGGGCCCTCCTCTGAGCCCCTGGCGGCTCCCTCTCCCGGGCTCTGCGCTCCGAGGCCTCCCGGCCGCCCTCCCGGCCAAGGGTTCTGGCGCTCCGTGCGGGCTGAGCAGCCGAACCTGCTGTGACCTCACACCCCACATTCTGCGGGGCTGGGCCAAGGGCTCTGCTCTTGCTAACTAGCGTGCACCCTGAGTATGCAGAGCAGAAGTGCTTGAAGCACCTAAACGTTAAACGGACACATCCATTTTATACTTCTCTACCCCAAACTCCTCAAGAACATTTTTCAGGCTTGTTTCTCCTTAAAACAAAACGCATCTAAAGGCCATTTTCCCACTCTTTAAAGCACTGAGGTCACTATCTCAAAACAGGGCCGTTACTCAGGTGTGTGCCCCTGCACACTGCATGTGATGCCCGCATCTGCCCAGCGGGACTCCGGGCAATAGTAAAAGCCCCAAGGGACCTACGAAAGGGCCACCATTGTAGTCGTGTTCTACAATGGGTTAGTGACCTTAGTGATAACGTCACCTGACTGCTTCATGTTCCAGATGAGGCCACTGAGGCCCAGAGTCAGCAGCAAAACTAAATGCGGAAAAGAAAGATTGGAACCTACTACACTCACCATCTGTAGACGACCCCGATGTTGGAACATAGTGAAGAACATACCGGGATTGCAGGGGAGTTGGGAGGCATAAATCATATAAAATCTAGCCCAGAATCTTTTAGATTTTAAATGAATCAAGCATTCTTATTTTTAACTATTTTTAACTTAAATTAACTAAGGTAACTTTTATATACAAATACAGTGGCCCGGAAGTGTAATTTTTCTTCATGATAATATGATTAATGGAATTGGAGTGGGTATATTCCGACAATCGTAGAATGTGAATACACATATTAATTGATCTGCCTGAAATCAATTTTTTTTAAAGATTTATTTTTTTCCTTTTTCTCCCCAAAGCCCCCCAGTACATAGTTGTATATTCTTCGTTGTGGATCCCTCTAGTTGTGGCATGTGGGATGCCGCCTCAGCGTGGTTTGACGAGCAGTGCCATGTCCGCGCCCAGGATTCGAACCAACGAAACACTGGACCACCTGTAGCGGAGCGCGCAAACTTAACCACTCGGCCACGGGGCCAGCCCCTGTCTGAAATCAATTTTTAATGTGTACCAGCTGATTATACTAAGATAAAAAATATTTAGTTCTACGTATTTCAGGCATATCATGCTAAATAATTATGATCAGACTCAAAGTTCCACCTTTAGGCCTCATTCTTCACGTAAGGGATGTCATTTGCTTGTCCTCTCCCTTCCCCAGCTTTAAGGCTTTACCAACCTGGTGCTGGAATAATCCATAAGAGACCTCTGAGTTCCACACTGAGAGATCAGTCTCAGTCCTTGATGCGCTAAGGACGAGAACGGAAAAAGAGAAATTTGTACTTTTTTCTTTCAGTTTCCGGAGCAGCAGTCGGCGAGGGATGAGTCTCTGGCCTCCCCCAAAAGAGAAATCACTTGTTCACACCTCCTTTCCTGCCTTTCACTCAGTTCAGAGATCCATGGGATCATCTTTACCAAGTGTCAGTTCCCCTCGCCTCTGTAGTCTGAGAACGGGGTGGCTAGGGGAGCGAGGCCTCAACAGGGCCCCGAGCGCCCAGCTGGCTTCTGCTCCCAGTGAGCCGCACCCGACACGGGCCGTCCCTCCGTCACCCCGGGTAGGCCGAGGCGGAGAGGCACCGAGGAGCGGCCCTCCCGCGCTGAGGCCGTCCTCACTGGCCGGCCCGGACCGCAGGGCCCCCCGGGGCTGGGACGGCTGCAGGCCATGCACCAGCTCCGGCCGCGGGAGCAGCTGCTTCTCCAAGCTCCCTGGAGAGGCCACCTGCCTCCGGCCTTAGGACGTCAAAAGGTGACCGGGGTCTTAGCCTCCCCTCAGACTGGGGGCCATGCTTCTGGCCAAGATGGTGCGATCGATCATCGATCGTAAGACCCAGAGGGAAGAGGCCTTGGGAGCGTGGCGCCCTCTGCCTCTGCTGCTGGCAGAGGCTGGTTTTCTCACAGCCACCCCAGCCTGGAACTGGCAGTTAGTGCCCAGCACTGCTGTCTTCTTGTCATCCTCTCACCCCGGCTTGGACAAGGTGGAGAGGTGGTAACCTAGAGCTCCCCAAACTGATGGCGGCAGAGACCGACGGTAGGATTCTGACAGTGTGCTGATCACAACTTTTAAAAAGCCAGAGAACAAAGTGGGAGAGAGGAGGAAGGACCCCAAAGATGGCCTAACTTGAATGTGGTTAGCGTCAGGGTGTCTGGGCTATACCAAGTGTTTAGCGAGTTTTCTTTTTGCCAAAAAGGCATGGAAAGAAAAAATAAGAAAGATAGTAATGAGAAAATATTAGAATTTGAACATAAGCAATCTGATCCCAGAGCCCATGCTGCTGACAGAGGAGAGGTATCGAACTGGATTGAGGATTACATGCCGAATAGAAACTTGCAATGAACAGAATTAAATCAAGGTGCCCCCAGACCCTTTCCCTTGTAAAGAAATCCCATTTCCACTCCCAGCACCCTAAACTTCCACTCCCACTGCAGACAGACAGCTTAGAGAGGGGTAGGCAGTAGACCCCTCCACTGATTTCCCCCCTTAAACCCTGAGCACCTCTAGCTTCCATTTCTGCTTCAGGCCAACCAGTGAGCTGGAGCCTGCATGTATGTTAGAGAGTTATGAATGTCACAGAAAAGGTCTAGAAATAATAGAAAAGACTGAAGAAAGAGAGAAAATAATACCATTATGATATACCATTAAGGAGTATGAACCCTGATGGAACAGCACATAGGTATGACCTATGAGAAAACTCATTTTGACAATTTGACTTTCATAATGATAAAGCTATGTTGAAATAGAGAAATAAATAATAATTTTGTTTTATGCATATAAAAATTGAAATTCTACCTCCTCATTTCTCATAATAGTTTACTAGTCTAGGGAAAAAACCACCTTTTGCTGCTTACTGGAAAACATGGCTATTTCCCATGGATATTTTTCACTGATCCAGGTTTTCTGTGCGAGTCTTCATATGTACAGGCTAAAATGGTCTCTCCAAAGCAGTGAACTTATCTTGTATGTGCTAGGATTTTATTTAGATTTGACTGAGAGACCCAGATATCTCCTCTGAGTAGGCGACAAACACATTTTCATGTCAGAACCTAGACTAGGGTTTTAGGATGCAAAGCTTTAAAAGTTCAGCAGCAGAAATGGCGCACTGATGGACACTTCCTGTAGGCCAAGATAGGCAAACCTGTTTCTTGATGATGACCTAGCTGTGGAGGTATGAAAATGGTGTCAGCCTCTTCTGAAATTCCCGGCACCCTTTGCACTACTTCTAGTCTGTCCCAGGCCATGGCGGGCTTCAAAATCTTGTTGAAAGCCTTAATCACACCGTCGTGAAAGACCTCTGCTTGTTAACATTTGCCCAGAATCCAAGAGCAAATCATCAGACACCTGAGCAGCCAAACACGTGAAAATGCAAACCTACCAGGACAGTTTCCTGTCTTGATATTTTAATATATATCATGATACGTTTAAAAGTTCTTATGCCCAAAATATATTTTCAAAGCCATCGTTAGGCTGTTCTAGCCTTATGTATTATGTCACTGAAATGAGACGTGATTAACGTTATCTTCCTCGTAGAGATGACAGGAATAAAATCAGCTCTCAAACTTTCTCTTTTTGAGGAAAAATGTTTCTCTAACTTTTTCTCATAGGATTTATTTTACTCACATTTGTTAGGCTTCTCTAGAGTCATTCTGGTTCTCCAAATGTCATCAAACGTCTGGACACACAAACTAGGAAGACGTTCCCAGAAAGAGTTTACCTAACGCCGAGCAGAAGAGTTCCATGGACCAGCAGCTTCCGGCCACGTCTGTGTAATACAATTCTGTTCATCATATTAACGACCACACAGGTTGTCGACTGCGCCGTCTATTTCTTCTTCCCACGTGTTTTATTTCTCCTTAAAGTTCCGCAGTCTGAGTTTTGGTCTTTTGGTTTACTGATGTGCGTTTGTCAGTACATAAGCCTCATCGTACCAATAGAAGATCTGTCTGAAGATTTTTACACTAAACTTAATTAAGTACATTTTGGAATCTTTAAATCACCATCAACATTTTCTATGTTTCTCTTGCATAAGTAGATTGAACAATCCCCAAAGAGGTAGAAACGCCTGGAAATAAATGAGCATCCTTTTTTTTTTACTGTTATCTTTTACAGTCACCTATATTTGTATTCCCCTCTAGGTTCTAAGTGTCATGAAGACAAGAACCATGTGCTTTATGTATTTTATGTGCTTATTTCTAGCACCCGGCATATGGAAGGCATTAAATATTTGTTGAACTTTGTGTCTCTGCTTTGGTGCTTTCTACGATTTCATCCCATTTTAAGCAGAAAAAAACATTACTGCTTAGGCCCGTGAGTCCGAGCGTCTGCAAGCCTTCTTTACCTAAGTTTATTTTGATAACCATTTCTGGCATTAAGATGAGGCCAATTTCTTTTGCATACAATGTGGATATAAGACATTGTTAAAAACCTGATAAATACTGCAGTAATCATTGCTCCAAAATTTATTATTTCAAACATCATAGTGTACTGCACGTTTCGCTTTTTACTTAGGGCATGTGTGCCTTTCAATATGACTCACTTTCCACTGTCTTAATACTCTGGTTGTTAAAACAATCTGTCCTGATTTGATCAAAATAATTCAGTTTCCCCTGGAATTCTGGATTTTGCATATTTGTTTATTAGCTTATAATTTTAAATTAAAGCTAAATATTTGATAAATATACCTTGAAAATGGGCATAGCTACATAATTAAAGACATTAGGATGTCTATTCCGGAGAAGTTCAGGGAATTAGAATAGCTATCTGAGGGGTATTCGCATATATGAGGGACTGTCCTTAATCCACATTGCTCTGCTGGGCAGTACTACAACCACTGGGAAGACAGATGGCAGGCAGATGTGGGTTTAATTAAGAAAGGACTGTCTATTGGTTAGAGCTTACAACAGGATGGACTGGTTAGTGAAATAGTGAGCCTCCCCTTAAACCAGTAGTTAGATGATCTATCTGGAATGTTATAATGGAGATTTCTAAAAAGAATAGCGATATTCCACACCGTCTTAGAAAATTCCTCCAAAGCCAAGATTCTATAATCTTATGAGTTGCTTTGCAATATGAATACATGCGAGCTTGGCCTTTGGACTGCATCCACTCCCGCACCACAGGCATTATCTTGATGTCTTACTGTGTGTGCCATCCACAAGGACAGAGAGAGCCCTGCTGTGGTCCTTGGCCAAGGAGGTCATTTAGCATCTTTTCAAGATTTTTCCCTAAAAAGCAAATCAACTACCAAATGTTGTATAAATTGGTACTCAAAGAATTCCAGCTAATTCAACATAAGAAACTATCCACGTAGGGAGATTTTATGGCTTGTGCTATTTCACTTAACTGCTAACTTCATTTGGTGGAGTGGGGAACTACTATAACTTAGAAATAATAATGATAATTACTATTTATTGAGCACCTACTATGTGCTGGGAACCATAACAGTCTTCCACGTGCTATCTCATTTAATCCCCACGATAGCACTGTGAGGTATATATAATTTCTGTTTTAAATATGAGAAAATGGAAAAGATAAGGTAACTGTTAATATGTGGTAGAACTTGAATTGGAACCCAGCCCTGAGTCCAAAGTTAGTGTTCCTTCTATTATCTATGTTGCTTTCTAAGCTCTCAGTTGTCCACACAATGGCCTGTTAAATCTGGCCATAGTTCCACATAGCAGTCCTCCTATCCCACTCCTAACCCCTCCACTCTGATGGGAAGTATCCATTGCCAAGATATTGAGATCTGGAAAGAAGATGGGTTGCTATCAAAACTGATGAAGCC